CATTTAAACAGTCATGGTAGATACCTTGTTTGTTTTAAACATCATAAATACACAAACAACAATGAATACTTATAGGTTGTGTACCCGAATCTCCCGCTGGTCCAAACAAAGTAGGAACAGCATCGTTCTTCAGTGCCCGACGCTGTACATATCCGGCATGAATCGCTGAAAGGTTTGGGAAGCTTTGTTTCGTGAAAGGCTGGCAGAGGGTGCGGCCATAGCTCTGGGCGTGGCTACTTGGTATCCCTACGTAGCGATACCCAGAAAGTAAATGAGAAATCTCCAACGAGGCGTTGTGGGGAGGTATTTTCTGTGTTAGTTTTACTCGCTACAGGGTGTATTTTGAGGGGTTTTGACTCTGCAGACCGTTTACATGCTAATTAAAACCTTCATAACACACAAGGGGACGGGTAATAACCGGAAAAGCATGACATGGGACCTTTACACTAAATGGAATTGAACAGATACACTTTATTATTTTTAAGCCTTTGTGATTTTGATACAAATGTAATTGAAGTAATGATCAGACTCACTGTTAATGACACAACGCCACTTCTTGTAGGAAGGTTTCTAGAAGAGACGGTTGCCTTTGTGTACCGAGATGTTGGCGTTCCTCCTTGCCTTTTTTCCATCACCTGACCGTCACTTTCCTGGACTGACGGTTATATTCAGCCATTGACCTGCTAAGAGGAACAGCACATAAACCTGCTGGAGCTTTTTTCCAGGAGGAGAAAGGCAAGGCAGAGGAGGACCTGGCTAATGTGGTTTGCTACAGACAGAGAGAACGTGGTTATTGTAGGAGAAACAAAGCCGATGCTGAGCAGTGAGCACTCAGGAGAAAGAGCAGAGAAATACCTCCCACCCCTCTGCCTTCTACCCTCCTCCTCCCCAGTGGTATTAATTAGCAGCAGCAGCAGATGAGTGGAGAACAGAGAGCCTGGAGGGAGAATAGGTTCATGTCAGGTTAGCCTGCCTCTCTGTCTCTGTCTCTGTCTCTGTCTCTCTCTGTCTGTCTGTCTCTCTCTCTCTCTCTCTCTCTCTCTCTCTCTCTCTGTCTCTCTCTCTCTCTCTCTTTTTGTTATATATACCTCTATTCACATGTTCACAGCACATCCACAAATAATCAGAGCTGATACTAGGAGGGAATGTCCGTTTCCCTTCATTATTGCAAACACTATGAATTGGGTATATGCTTAAAAAATAGTTGAGTTTCCATAAAGCCAAATAAAACACCCTGCTCGAGGTCTAACAAGCCCCCTTCACATTTTCATCTTACCCCTCCTCACAGCTCCTGTTGCCCCATCCTCCCTCTCTTTCCATTCTCTCCCCATTGAATGCGTTTTAAACACCTGTTTCAAATGTCAGTGTGTATGACTAAACTGACATGCTTTAGTTTGAACCAATACATCCGTCTACTTTTGCTGAATAAAAGCTCACTTCTCACTCTACATGGTGAACAGTAGAAGGTCAAAGACTGCTCTACTGGCTCAGACAGAGGTCCAGAGCCACACTTGTTCTGACCTGTAGCTGACATCGGCTTCAGCAGATGGAGCAGAGGCAATGGAGACAAATAATGTGTCTAGGTTTCTGGGATGATATTGATTTTCTCCACCTCCTAAATTGGCCTCAGCTTGAGCGTAGAGTGTTTGTCAACTAATCAAAAGACCAGTGCTTTTGGCCCCTGCAGCCTTCATGTTGAAAATGCTAAACTCCAAATTTGCAAATTAATTTGTATGCTAGTCATGTTGGATTATGTTGTCAAGCATTTTGAATGGTTCCATAGAGTAGAAAATCTCTATATAAATGCAGTCCATTGAACAGGGCAGTCACGATTTAAAAAGACAGAGACCGCAACTCAAATATTAGAGGCATTCTGTGCCAGGGACTCATAAGAGTCAGGTGATAATAAATGAACTTTTCTTCCCATTCTTCTCTCTCTCTCTCTCTGCCTGTCTCTCCCTGTAGAATTCTATACGACACAACCTGTCCTTGAACAAGTGTTTTCTCAAAGTGCCTCGCTCCAAAGATGACCCTGGAAAAGTAAGTATTTCCCGAACAATGTATTGCCGGAAAACTCAGTTTGAATTACGGTGCGACACACAATGAAAATACAAGCCTGTTTTTGGCAAGCTTATAAATACGGCCTCAGCCGTTACTTCTCACGTGTTTGGCTGCCCACACAGACGCATTCACCTGTTCTGATGTTTTGTCATACAAACACATAGGCCTACACTCACACACATAAAACATGTCTGAACTTGAAAGCAATTTGTAGCTCCATCTGAATGCCTAATGCCACTTTCTGTGTTTTCTGCAGCTCTTCCGATATTGATTCTGCCAAGTAATAATGTGGTACAGAGAGTAATGAATAATAAGTATATGTAGGTACACTCCTTCAGATGCAAACCTGTTCACGCATCTGTTCTGCTTTATTAGGCCCTGTTTCACTCTCTCGCTCGCGCACACAAAATGGCTCGTTCCACACCACACACACACACACACACACACACACACACACACACACACACACACACACATACACATACACACACAATCTGAGGAAGCATTGGTATGTTTCACCACTGCTTCTGCTTTGGTTGGGAAGCACAGTTGCCACGGCCACTTCAGCAGGGCCGTTTTGAAAAACAACAATTTGTCAACGCCTTGTTTGTGCTGAATCGAAGGAAATGCTCAGATGGGCAAAGTATGTAATTACAGTTGATCACTGAAGCTTGCCCTTTACAAGATTTTTTAATAAAAAGCTCAAATGTCTGCATTTGAACTCATCACAGGGTTAATGTGGGAAGCAATCCTCCACTTTTACAAAAACTGACGAGCCAAAACTTTTCATTGAACGCTCAAAACTAATTTTGTTTGAGCGGAGGAGGGAGTTTCTCCAGGCTGCAGGAATTTTGGAGCCATTGAAAAATGAATTAGGGGGAAGAAGGTTTAAATAATTCAAACAAAATCCTTGGGCTTGAGTGGAGGCCTATAGTCTGCAAAGATACAAAGAGAGCAGCTCCCCTCTGATGAGCTGGACTTGGACCTGACCAGCACTTTAATTCACACCGTGGATCGAAGTGGTCAATACTTTGGCGTGGGGGGGCCATCTGTGTGAAGAGAAGTTGAATGTACGAGCTCAGTTTGAGAGAGGGGGGAAGCTAAATCATGCATGTGCTAACGTTAATTGGCTGTGTACTGTTCACTGATGTGGGACTGAGAGACAGGGGGAGGAGAAGAGGCGAGCATGGGGGAGCGGAGGGGGGGATAGATGTTCATAGATGAGGTGTGTGTGTGTGTGTGTGGTCTACCTGAACCTCCTGAATTCTGTCTGCAGCCTTATACCTCCCTGTGACACTCCTTTTGGAGTGTGCTGTGTTTCAGCATTGGGTATCAAAGGGATTGCAGTGGACTTTTGGGGGAAAGGAAGCAGGAGCATGCACCACAGGAAACTAAACCCAGAGAAAACTGATTGGATACAGAGCTGGTATAACAACACATACATTGGTCTTATCAGCTACAGCGGAGATCCATCCATTGCTTTTCTTCTGTTTAGTGCCACTTGTTTCCCATCAGAGGGGCTGAACAGCTTCACTGAGAAGAAGTAGGGAAGAGAGACACTAGATGGTATCCACTATAGGTGGAGATGCATCTGAAACAAATGGGGGGGAAATGGACTGACAAAACCATATATGTGTTGAATTGTACCACCCTAACAAATATGTATTATATTAAGTAAAATTAAACTTAATGACAGCACAGCGCACTATTCAGAGTAACAATTTGAAATGGCTTCCTCACACAAATATCTGGGGCTTCATATTGACATGAAATGTAACCGTCTGTTTCATTTCTCCTAAGGAAATTAAAATCCTTTGAGGTAACTAAATGTTTTTTTGTTTTATGGGCGGCTGTGGCTCAGTGGCTAGAGTGCTGGACTTTGAATCAGTGGGTAGCAAGTTTGAGTCCCACTGCAGTCAGCATGTTGTCGTGTTCCTGGGCAAGACACTTCACCCCAAATTGTTCCTGCGGGGATTGTCCACAGTACTGAATGTATGTACTGTAACTCGCTTTGGATAAAAGCGTCTAACAAATAACATGTAATGTAATGTTATGTTTAAATGCAACCAGTGCCTTGTTTTGGCTGTTGTTGGTTGGCTTAAATTGTTTGTTAAAGGCTAACAATATGAAAGTTTACCTAAACGAACAGAGCAATCCAAAGCGGGAAATAAATACACCAAGATCTTAACTCCTTGTTTTATTGGGTTGCACTCCAGGGTTCCTACTGGGCTATAGACACCAACCCTAAAGAAGACTCGGTACCCAGCAGGCCGAAAAAGAGGCCGCGCTCCGGAGAAAGGGTGAGTACTAACCATACCTTAAACTTTAAGTTATTTGTAACCTATTTCGGCTGCCATTAAATATCTTCATACCAGTTGAAGCTCACTGTCATCAGAATCAGAAACGGCTTTATTGCCAGGTAGGTTCACACATACGAGGAATTTGACTTGATGTCATGGTGCATACATAAAATATAAAAAAAAATTTTTTTTAAGTACTCTTTAATAATATATAGTTAGATTGAAATAAAATAAAGCAGTAATTTAAAGGCAAAATAGAATGCAGTGAATTATAGAATATAAAATATGTTCAGTAAGCAGTATTTGAACATTGTGTGCATTAATGTAATGCATAGAGTCTACGTTGTGGCTGAGGTAAAGTGTCAGAGGGGGGGCCGGGCCTTGTTTAAGAGGCCGGTAGCGGAGGGGAAGAAACTGTGTCACATGATGTAGCCGTTTAAGAAGGCTACATCAGGGATCAGAACAAATATAAATTGAGAAAGAGCTGCTCAGGTCACTGGAGATGCTACAGATATGTTGGTGTTGAAACAAAATGAAATCGAGATTACTTCATTTGACCATACATTTCTCTGGCGGACAAACTGAGAGAAAGTTTCAAGGGTCAGAGTTCATAACCGTGCCTGAGCCTGCATTAATATAAAAGTGGAAGTCGGAAAAAGTAAAACAGAAGTTAATTTAATAGACCTCCAATCTTTTTCCTTTTCCATGCTTTCATTGTTAACAGGACACACCAGCAGGCAACAGCGCATGTAAAGATGTAATGTAAAGAGTCCATATCCAAGCTCTTGATTCTGTTTGGCTTGATTACACATTTTGAGTCGTTTCTTGCACATGGTGATTCTGCATCAAGGTTAAAAGATTGTTTGGGATTATGTTTTATCAGCGGTACCAAGAAAAAAACTCAAAAGGAACAACATATCATCTACAGCTTCCTGCCTGTCTTTGCTACAAATGCATCCCACTTGCTGCACAATGTGCTTGTTTCGCAGGTCCTCAGTTGTCTATCATTCCCGAAAACAATTTGGTCAGAGTTTGAATAGGATTCTGTAATTATCATTCTATTATAGCTTATATACCAATTTTGGCTGGTTTGAATGGACGGGGTTATCTTTGACATCAGGCTTGCTTTGTGCCTTGAGATTGATATTGACCTGCTTATTACTGGACCTCTCCCACTGGAGAAAGCTAGAAAACGTGCCTGTGTCTGATAGAAAAAACCCACATCCAGCACATGTGCCAATTTCTTTGTCACATGCCATAAGATAACCACTTTGACAAGATCATGATCATGTTTTGGATATAGAAGTTAAATCTGTGGCTCTTGGATTTCCAGTTTTTACTATTCCACAGAAACAACAGGAACAACAGAACAGATGATAACACACAGAAGTAGGAAGGAAAATGGGTTTTGGTAGATTGATTGACAGCAGTCGAGGCTATGAATGTTTGTAACCCGGCAGAATGCACTTCCAATCAGCAACACAAAGCAGTGAGCTCCATGGTGTGTTGCAGCTCCTGCTTCACCTCTGTCTCCATCTGCATGATACAGTATGTGCACCAATCTATATTAGATTAATTATACTGATAACACCATCCATTACGATAAAGCATGTTTTTTGGTAATTTGATTAATAAATATAACATCAAACACATGGTTATGTTTGTTTTGGAAGCTTCTATCTATGTGAACTAAATACTTGTCAAATGTATTGGAATTTAAATTTCTCATTTAATTGATAACATTAGTGCAAAGTGTGAGAAAGAAATGTAACATTCAAATGATATTCCGTCAAAATATTTCACATGAGAAAGATAGTACGTGCTGGTTATTATGAATTTAGACAATTGTATCACGACATTAAATATCATTGATTAAACAAAAAAAGAAGAAATGGTGCAGCTGGTTAGCAGCACATCAAGACTGACTTTGATTCAATCTTCTCTATAACATGTTAATGAAGCTTTAGGATTTATAACATTTCACCTGCAATGTTTTCATGATCTGCAGAAAATGCTAAGTGATAGCGATTGATAATATCCGATATTAACAGCAGGCTTTATGTAACACGACGCCCTTCTTCAGCCAAGGTCGAGCAACTTATTCAAATGGGAGTTTTAATTCCAGCAGGCAGAGAGCCTCCTGTTATTACACTCTATGTATCCAGCTGATAACCCACTGAGGTTTCTTCTGAATGTACACATAACTGTTGGTTGATGCATTAACAACCTGCAGAGTCTTTCATCATGGTGCAGCACAGCTGGTCATTTCTCCCTCTTTTCTCCTCCTGCGTCTCCGTCACTGTTTGTGTATCTTGATCATTATCTTTCTGTGCGTCTGTTTGTCTGCCACTCTCTCCTCTCCCTCTCCCTCTCTGCCTGTACCGCTGCTTTAGCCGCCTTCTCTTCTCCAGGGAACGCAGGCAGGCGTGGAGCGGCAAAGTGCACAATCACAGTTGCTCATTGGAGGAAGAATTGAGGTAAAAGCGAGAGAAAGGGGGGAGGATAGAAAAAGGGGAACAATAGGAAGAAGCGTAAAGGAAAAGACACAGAAGAAAGAGAAGGAAATCAAGGTAGAGCGAGCAGAGAGGGAAAATCAGGGGGGAGGAAGGGAAGAAGTAAGAGGGGGAGGAGGAAGGGTATGCTAGGCTTGTGTTCCAGTTAATTACCACAGAAGGCCCCGGGGCTGCCGTTAGACATATTTTCTTCACCATTTTTTTAATTTTTATTACAAACATTAATTAATTCAGAGCCTTGTCATCTCGTCTTACATGGATGGGCCCTTCGACCCCTTTTCTTACGCCTCACTTGCACTGCTGGCAGACTCACTGTGGGCTGTCACATGGGCTAAGGAGAAACAGGGAGGTTTTTAGTGCTAAGATTTATGGCAGTGCTTCCGTGAAACAGAAAAAAAAATGAAAGGTAGGCTCAATATGCACTTGTGTTTTCATTGGGGTTTTGTTGCACCTAGGCTACACAGTCAAAGTCTTTCAAGTCTCCTGATGACAGGGGCTGTGCAATTGAAAAGATTTGAAGTTGGCAGCGGGGCTAAACGTCGGCTGCATAAATGCATTGTGTAAATGTGTAGACAGCCAGCGTACACTTAGTTTAGTAGCTGCGTCTCCGGTGCCCTCAGCATAATCACTCCCTTTCATTTCCTGTATGCCTCTCTGTCTGCCTGTCCGTCAACACTCAATTATCTCTACCTATTCTTCCCTTTCTCTCCCCTTCTTCCACAAGCCTTCCTCACTCCTCTGCTCACCTCTCTGTTGTCTTCTTTTTAAGTGCCTCCACCAGGGAACCGACAACCCGTTTCACTGGGAGTTTATCATAAATTAAAGATTGCATTGTTACCAACCAATCCTCTTACTGTAAGCAGTTTGGGAAAGGCAGGCAAGCCGTCTTGAACCCTGAAAGGAGTCAGACATGGAGAAAAAATACTGTCCTTATTGCTATTTTTCCCCCATTCTGCAACCTTCAATTTAGCCCCTCATCGATCTTTGAATAGTTCCTCGTATCCCCACACTGAGTTAACCCGACTTTAGCTCTATATGAGGACAGCAGCAAATAAACTGCTGCTGAAGACATTTGATACTTGAATAATGCATGGGGATGGGTTGATTTCTTATCAAGTGCAAGTGATGTGTCCACTTTTCATGCTGTTTTAGTGTCTGGCAATTTAAATGAAGTGCGCCTCGACTAGTTCACGTAGTTGTAGCCTGAGGGGCGGCGCTGATTCAGGAGGCTCAGTGCAAAATCATGAACTTGCAGCGTTCAGTAATTTCTCATAACCTTGTCATATTAAATTGCCTTCCTCCCTTTTACTGTCACTGAACACTGCATATAACCAATCTGTGAAATCTCGTATTCCTTCTGCTTTTATTACAGAAGAAGTAGTTGTGCACAGATTCATATCGACTGAAATTGTAATACTCTTCTTCCTTACTTTTACATTCTTGGGTTGTTCACACCTGCTCTTTTCTACTTCAAAATGAAAAGTCCTACTGTTGGTGATCCATAATTTGGTGTGTCCACCCTTGTTCTCAGTCCTCTGTCCTCTACCTGCAGGCATCGACTCCATACAGCCTGGAGTCAGAGTCTCTGAGGATGGACTGCATTATGTCGGGGGGGGCGTCCCCCACTCTGGCCATTAACGCTGTCACCAACAAGGTACGGCACGGCAACTCTGTAAGTGTTACGTTGTTTGCATGCTGATTGATTCAATATGTATTATCTCTTCGATTTACAAACGGCATCTATTGCACGTCTGTCCGTCCTGGGAGAGGGATCCCTCCTCTGTTGCTCTCCCTGAGGTTTCTCCCATGCTCCCCTTTAAACTGTGGGGTTTTCTCTGGAAGTTTTTCCTTGTACGATGTGAGGGTCCAAGGACAGAGGGTGTCATATTGTCATACTGATATTCTGTACAAACTGTGAAGTCCACTGAGACAAATGTAACATTTGTGATATTGGGCTATATAAATAAACATTGATTGATTGAATATCACATACAGAACTTTAAAAATAGATGAAAAAGCTCAGAAAGATGACACTAAGTAATGAATATTCATTTCTCAATGATGTGTAATTCTGATTTTTAACAAATTAATCATTCAAGAAGATAGTCATTTGTACTTGAAGCTGAGAAGAATGTGTCGAAGGCTATACTTATTACTAACTGGAAATGAGCGCATTGGAAAGAGAGCAGCAGCAAAAATGTCTCAGTTTTTTTCTTTTTTACAATCAATTTCACACACAACCTTATGCAATGACCACACACACACACACACACACACACACACACACACACACACACACACACACACACAGCCGAGCTTTAATGAAACACAGAGACACATACGTAAAAGTACTGTACTGCATCATATTATTTTCGAATCAATAATTTTTCAATTTATAATTCTTTTTTTTTTTTAATCTTTTTTTTTTTTTTCATAACCATTTTTCGTCCTGGTCTCTCGCGGCCCCCCTGGCATGCCTCTGCGCCCCCCACTTTGAGAACCACTGTTTTAAACATAAGAAACTCTGTTAAAGTTTCTCCAGTTTTCTTAGTTCAACAGACGTAAAACGTCTTAAAAATGTGACAACAAAATCATTAACAGCGGAGGAAATCAGCATCAAGTTGTTAATGTTTCCCCCGTACAGTTTGGTGTGTCACACAACAAGAAACCTGTTGTTCTAAAGTAATTCCGTTTTTTCTCAAGGGAGGGTTAAAACTTGACTCGTCTTAGTCGTCACCATACATTTTTGAACAAATGATTCAGAGCAGGGAGAGGAGGACCTTGATGGTAATGATGCTGATGCCAACGTCAATGATTTCCACCCACATCCAGGCAGGCGGTGTCCTGCAGGCACAGCAGTGCTTCGGTGCTTCACTCACACATTGGCTCACTATATTCAGTTTGCTTTGGAGAGGGCCTGTGTTTTTGAAAAATACATTCCTATAAGATGATTCAAGAGCTTAGAATAACAGATATATTTACCTTGAGGGTTGTTCTAGTCATTAATTACTTTCAGAGATCTTTTTACTTGAGTTTGTTAATTTGCAGTAACTGAAAGTCTAAGAAGAAAAAAATAATTTCAAAGGTGAATGGTCATTGCCAGTTTCCCTTTTCTTTCCTTATGCATGTATATAAACTACTAATGTTCAAAGTAAAACACACAATTATTTTCTTGTTAGTGCAGTAACACAGCAAGAATGAGAATAAGGTTCACTGCGATGTCACCAAATACACCAGAACAAAAAAAGGTTCAGGATTAACATTTAAGGAAACAGAAAACACTTCTTTGTTTTCAGCTACAGCTAAGATGCTCTACAGGGTAGAGCACCACCCCAGAGATCCTTTACTGTTGTCTCACCCGAAGGCTATAATTTCACTTGTGTCTGTACAATTAAATATAGCCTGGAGGTAACACTGGCGCTCTGCTTCACAAGTACTGACATTCAAACAAAACAAGAGAAACATGATTCAACATAATCCTGAGGCATTTCTTTTAAAGGCTTTGTGATCTGTCACCACAAGATAATACACAGTACACTTCCTCTGAAGCGCAACTCGTGTCTCCATCGGTGCCAAACTTTCAGACAATAAAGTAATTTCTGAAGTGACCTAGTGGTTTCTGGGTCATGACATTTAATCATAATCACCATGTTCAGGGAAGAAAAGAAAATCATCATTAGTTTACATTCTGTGATGTTTTGTAGCAGCAGGACCACTTTTTATATACCAGCACTTTAATTTCCATATTTCCTCACGAGTTGTCCCATAAGTTAATGGTGCGTAGGTAACGTGTTGAGGTGGACAGTGTTCACTTCAGACTGGATTTACAAGGGGACAAAACAAGCGAGAGTACTAAAGTGGGGAAAGAGGAGCAATAAACTCATGAATAACTGCCTTTTAAAAGAGTTAATATGGGGTATTGCTTCAACATTTTGGCTCATGGATTTCCTTAATGTTGTTTTTACATGGATCCTGTGTGTGTGTTTAGGTAGCACTGTACAACCCTGAGGCTGAGGGCAGTGAGAGTCCAGGGAGTCTGGGCAGCCTGAGCAACAGCCTCTCCGAGCAGAGTATGGCGTCCGTCAACCTCAACAACCTGACAACCGCCGTCAGCAGCGGCAGCAACGTACACGGCTACACACCAGTAAGACCTTTTCTTTATTTGAGGTGAAAGTCTAGTGAGAGCTCCTTCATTTCTCTTTTCTTTAAGTCCTTCTGCACGGGGAAGACAGCTGATCTGATGCTGCCTCAGACTCTTGTTAATAGCATTTCATTTAGTCCTGCTATTAAAAACAGATCTAGAATTGCTATATCTTAAACCAGCAGCATTTCAGATAATGTGTACTATATGTTCTTCTGGTCACTTGATTCTGTCATTATCTGGAGGATTGGGTCACCGGTGCAGACACTGTCAGTACAGAAGGTGTTTGCTGTACCCTGAGCAGGCTGAGGAAGTGATAACCAGCGGCTGAAACGCTCATTTCCTGTCTCATAGTCATTCTTTGCAAGCAAATACATTTTCAGTTGGCTTTTGCAGTGCTTGGATGATATTTTAATGTTAGTGTAATATCCATTCAGGTGTGCAGACGGCATGAATAGACGAGTAGTTACAAGAATGAATATATAACCCCCTGTTTTCCAAATAGAGATTTATTTGACCTCTCAGAACAAAACCCATATTTGTATCAAAACTTCATGTATTTTTGCTTCAACTGCGATCGCAAAAGTGTAGATTGCCTCTTCACAGTTGCTTTATATGCAAAGACATTTGCATTATTTAGCTTGTGAATTGAATTTTTGTTTTGCAGATGACTATCGATACTGTTAGCAGCCCCTGACACCCCTAAGGGTCGACCAGCCAATTTAAATTCTGAACCTTTAGGGAATGCTGCTTTGCTTTGATAGAAGTAGCTGCATAGAGCACAAATAAAACAACAGGAAACATCCAGTCATCCCTTTGTCTCGACAGCTCCCCTTTATCATCTCTGATGCATATAAATGATGCTTGACCACTAGAAAAAGTCACACACACTCACCCTCTCTCACTCACTCACCCCAACGTTTGTTTGAATCAAGGCAGTCCCATTTCGTCGTCTGCTAGAGTGCCTACAGTCTTGGCCGGTGAAAAGTAAAATGCAGACTTGGCAGTTCACTGATACACTGAAACATATTTGGCAAGATTCACACTAGCTGTTTAAAGGATCCCTCGTCCTTTATGAGACAAGGTCCTTCAAATTACTTAGTCTCAAGCAGTGTGTGTGTGTGTGTGTGTGACATGATGATAAGTCGTCTTTCTATGAAGGAGGAACTTGATTTGACACCTCTTCTGTCATGAACTAAACTGTCACATGTTGAGAGATTTAAAACAACATATTTGATAGAAACAAGAAATTATTATCACCAGCTGATATAACAACAAAAACAAAAATAGTTATCTGACCTTTAAATGTAAAATGTCACCCATGTTAAGATGCAAATTGGCTGCTGCACAATAACTTTTTCGTCTTGTGCTGCCATCAGTTATTTATAATTTCTCCTGATGTACTTTTATGCTCCAAGGGAATACACGAAAATAGCTTATTTTTTTATTTGTACATCCTTTTGTTTAACCTTTTTTGACCATATTACTCAATGCTGCAGCAACTTAATCCCATTGTGGCTATTCATTCATTTTTTATTATTTTCATGTAATTATGAGAACTTCTGAAGGACTTGTGCTGCATTTGTCGTGTTTATCAATGTGTTTTCATCCGTCCCTTTAAACCAAATACAATATCAAAGGCCAGTCTCACAAACATTTGGTCCGAAATTACAGGAGCGCTGAAAAAACCTCCAACTCTTCATTATTTTTCCCTTGTAACAGCTGCTCACCTTTTTACCATCCATCACTTTCCCCCGCTCACCTCCCACCTGCATTAGCAAAGGTCAGCGCAATCTCATCTCGTTAACCTCTCTTTTCTAGAGGCCATCTTTTGTTTTCCTCCTCCCTGCATCGCCTCCTCCACCCCCTCCTCCTCCTCTTCCTTCGCTCCAGGCCTCATCTGCAGTGTGGTACGGGGGGGATCAGGGTTAGTTCTGCCTCATTACCTGCTGCAGGTGAACCCCCCCTCAACTGACGTGATTACTGGTGGCATCACTGGCAGAGACCTCAAAGACAGAGAGCTGATGGAGAGGCGGCCATTGCTGGGTGGAGGTAGATGTGTGGAGGATGTGTCATGCTAAGTTTGCGGAGGCACACTGTTCACAGCAAATTGCTTGTGTTTGCCGGGCGGATGGTGAGGAGGATGACAGCTGGGATGAGATGATTGAGGGTAGAGGACGACAGGCTGCATTCACAATATGAGAAGGAAAATTGAAGCAGTGGATTTTGTTTTTGTGTGTTCATATGAAAAGAAACCCGTGCCAGTAAAAAGATTTCCTTTTAATTGCATGAAATTGAATTTGTTATGTTTATCATGCTGAATAAAAAAATGATTTCTAGGAAGAATTAATGGGAACATTTTAATTTGAATGGCACAATTGGAAAATAAATTGCATTTCTTGAAACTAAATGTGATCATTATTGAATCTAACTTTTATCTATTTCAGAGTGCAGCTCTTCCAAATGAAATTCAGGTTTCTTAATTTAGTTTCACCTACGAGGAACATTGTGCTGCCCTGTGCAGTGACTAACAGGCAGCAGCCCACTGCAATGCTTAGAGGCCTCTTCAAGAGACTTTTTAAATACCAAACTCTGCACAGTTTTATATAACACTGAGACAACATTTGACAACTCAGCCAATTTGTCGTGTAATCATTGTTCTATTAATCTTACAATCTTTATTATATATGCTGTATTTGGTATAATATATATCATTTTGAGCCTCAATTTAGCTTAGACAGGCACAGACGTTGTTATAGTCTCATCTTCCAATCCTACTGAATATGTCCTTGTCCTGTCTCAACACCAGGCAGTCCATATAAACATTTGCCGCTCATTAAATCTGCATACCAGGCTACCGCGCCGCTACCTGCCTTCAGCAGTTTAACCCCTGCCACCACTGCCTCCTCTATTATTATTATTCCAGTGTTTCTCAGGGATTTTAAAAACTGTATATGTTGATGTTCATTAAATGTTCTAAATCTCTGTTGGAGGAGTTGTGAGCTCACCGTCAGTCAGTGTCAACCTGTGCTGATTTGTTTTAATGCATTACCCAAACAGCTGGTTTTAGGTTGTTTGGTGTTTGTCATTATTATACCTAGTGTAAGAGTTGCTTCTGCTTATCATAGTCACTGTACCTAATATCCACACTTTTGCGTGATAAAATAAGATAACATAAGAAGGACCTTTATTGATCCCCATAGGGAAATGCAGTTGTCATAGCAGCAACAGAATAAGAAAGAAACACAGATAGCAAACATGGAATATAATCAGGCAGTACAATAAAATATGAAAAAATTAAATAAGAATAAACATGTATTAACAGTATGAATAGAAATGACAATAACGTGAGCTACATTTTGATCCGGTGAATGTACATACAGATTTGTTAGCATGGTAAATATATATATATTTAAATGTGCAGGTACCAGAGTGGGTGCCAATATTATTAATGTTAGGTGCAGGTTATTTTTGATGGGTTACATGGTTAACCCTTGATTGTTCAGCCTGATGGCTACAGGCACAAAGAGCTGCCTCTCGTCATATTTAATTACAATGTTTGTATTTCTGTTACAATAACTGCTAAAAACCCCAGAAGTACCAGGACTGTGCACAAAACAAGTTGCTTCATTCTTGGTGTTGCATTTTTTTTACTCCAATAATATGATCGCAGTTGCCATATTGGTCTCATTGAAGTGCATGGGGTGTGTTTTTTAGATGCAGTGCTGATGCTGGTCTGACCGCAATCTTTACACTTTGAACTGCAATGTGAATTCAGCGTTTGATGTGTGTTTTTCTCAAACCAATACCCTCATTGATTTGTATTTCTAAACCTCTGCCCGTCTGTTTTCTCTCCCCTCTGTCTGTAATTCTCTAAGGTGAAGCAGCCACTCCGGAGCCTTCGTCCCAGTCCTGAGTCTCCAGCAGCCCGCACACCCGCCTCCCCCCCCTCCCCTCCAGCACCAGTCGGTTCGTGTTTGCCCGTCCCCGACGTCGCGGGAAAAGCCGCTCTGTTTCCTCGGACTTCGAGGACCTCAGCGCTTCTTTCCGCCAGTCTTTACAGTGTGTCTTTGAGCAGTCCTTCTCACACAAGGTGGGTGTGGATTTAGTGTGTATCTGTTCATGTGTGCATGTCCAACATCTTAATTGACACATGTGTTGCAGAGAAAAATGAAAACCTTGTAAAACGTTTTATGGTTAGGCTTCATGCACATAATGAACTGTCAAGCTTAAGCTCCTAATGAAATGGAGATGTATTTAACATGGCTTCCATTGGCGTTAAAGCATTCCAGTATTAACCTCCATCACGCTCTATCGCTACTCTATTGTACTTTAATAAACAAACAATCTGTTGTTCCGCCATATCTGCATTTAATGGCTCGTTCAGTCAATATGAGTAAAAGCAATTAAAGAGGAAGATTCAACAGAAGGAGGAAAAAAAAGAACTGGAAACATCTGCAGTGAGCAGAGCAAGGGGCTCCGCAGCTTGATAGACAGCTATCTAGATTGGTTTTAAGTTTGTGAAGCATCTGCTAATTGCTCCTAAAGCTTTCAGGTCAACAGGCCTCCTTCCACTCAGACCCCCCCACCACCATCCTCCACCACCCCCTATCACCTTCGCTCTCCCCCCGATTTCTCCTCCACGAAACACATCCACGCGCCTTTCAGGGAACCGAGGAGATTGATGCGCTCTGTTGAGCTCCGTAACTGCTGCCTGTGTTCACCCTCTGGACAAGGTCCCTTCAATTTGTGGTCAGGGGCACATCGCGGAAGAAAACAACACAAGTGAGAATACTGTTGGAAGAAACAATATACACCGCAACACCTAGACGNTTCCGTGTCAGCGATACAGCTAGAACAAGCGAAACTCATCCTGAGCACACCTCAATATCAAGCCACACTTATTGTTTTTACTTCGGCTGTGAGTGTTTGTGTGTGCTCAGGATGAGTTTCGCTTGTTCTAGCTGTATCGCTGACACGGAAGCCTGTCTGCTCCTCGCAACCATAGTAACGAGCCTCTCACGTCGCGACCAATCAGAGCACACTGGGCTCACAGGGAGGGGGGGCAGGAGCTCCAACAAGCCGTTTAGGACAGAGTGAATACCGGTGAATACACATACTTTACAGAGATGCTGTATGAGAAACCAATGTGAGTTAGGAAAATTGCACAGAATAAATCTATTTTAGGAGACCTCAACAATGGAATTATGATCAGTAGAAATGGCCATGACATGGGACCTTTAAGATACTTTCTATTTATACTATGATCATTTACCTTAATACAAAAGTGTATCATCTTAATATCAGTCAGTCTAAGCCTGCTTTTTGTAGATACTATATACACACAAGACTGAGTGCCTTCTTTCCTACATGTTATGGAAACAGTAATAACCCCTCACTGAATGGGAATAGACATCATCAATACATGCACTGATTAGCAGCGCTGTGAAGTACGATAATGAGATTCTCTGATGTGTCCTCCTCCCACCCACTCCTCACCCCGCCTGATTAATGAGCTTATTGGGCCGGGCTGGGCCAATGCCCCTCCTGCCCAGTAGCTGAAGGAGGACGCGGTCACGAGTATTGTGTGTGAGTGTGTCTATGTTAAAACGAAGAAAGGACACTGAAGACTATGGGTCCAAATATGACATACAATATGAACTCTCATCGTTTCCACGGAAGGAAAATGTGTCAACATTGTCTTAATGGAGTTGTTTTACTTGACACCCCACAAAATCAGCAATAGTTCTGTTTTTCAAATACAACAGGTATTTGTCTAGAAAGCCTTAAGATGCCATATGCAAGTTGTTCGGGAAACCTCTCCCCAAAAACCTTTCCGACATTGGATTAGTGGGGGTCGGTTCCCAAAATTTCTGCAACTTTCTGAAGCCAAGAGTTTACACACACGCTCAAGACACAGATTGGCCAGCTGTGTAAATGTGAGATGAGTCAGGGTTTGGACTTCTCCAGTGTCTCTTTTTTATTTGAACAATCAAGATAAATAGTAGCATTATGTCTTGCAGAAGTGACAGTCTTAAAATGTGTATCTGTCCCCCCCAAAACTCCCTCCTCTGCGTGGCAGCCGGCTTTTTACTTTGCTTTCTGATATGTCAAACCAACCATAAAATACTTGATTTACAACTCCTACTGTGCCTGGCTTGTTCTTACCCAAATATTTTTATTTTATGGTAGGCCAAAATAAATGTAAAGTACCCTAATGTACTGTACGCACAGTGTGTGTACGCTATAGTCGCTGCTGCTGCTGCTTAACGTAGGGTGCAGGTTCCTGGAGTTAAAGAGGTTAGTTATATAAAAGACGGGGTTGTTAATTAAGCATGGATGACTTTTTGAATAAATGCAATTTGATATACACTGTAATGTGATGTGTGACTAAAAGTCAGGTTTTGGAAACATGCTGTCGGGTGGAAGGCGTGTGAAACTGTGTGTGTGTGTGTCTCAGTCAGGAAAAGTGATCAAATAAAGAAAAATGAAGTTAATGTTTGATGGTTGACAAAAACAGTTGACCAGGTTTAAAGACGTGTGTGTGTGTGTGTGTGTGTGTGTGTGTGTGTGTGTGTGTGTGTGTGTGTGTGTGTGTGTGTGTGTGTGTGTGTGTGTGTGTGTGTGTGTGTAGATATGCCATGGAAACAGGTCACACAGAGAAGACTGCAGTTACATAAGGTAGGTTTGGAAGATTGGTGTCAGGGCCGCTGAGTTAAATACAAAAAGGGGCAACGCGAGGCGGCTTTTCCTCTAAACTCCTCAAAGTTTCACGAGTGAGGCAACAACCCTTGTTCCACTTTTACAGAACAATGCTGACGACACTGACATGGTTGGTCGGTAAAGAGTTGAAATGGGTGAGTACATTCGGGTGCCTTGGTCTCCAGGAGTAACAGTCCTATTTATTTCCCGCAGTGACAATTCAAGGTGACTCATAGTTTAAGCATGAATCATCGGGTCAACCCCTGTGTTAGAAAAATATCCGTTTTTCTGAGGAGTCAGTCAAAGGTTAAGATATGTATGCATGAAAACAACTGAGGTAATCTCCGAAACAACTCAATCTTTTTTTATTTAGAACAAAAGCTTTAAGTTGAAGTTAATCGGTAGTAAAGTCTCTATGCAGATTCGCAAAAAATGTGGTCTGCACGAAATAAATACAACTGAACCTGTGTTTCATCCACTACTGTTATGAAATTGTTATGTAACATTAAGTATTAGATGTAGTGCTTATTCCCCAGTCGGGTGCCATTAAACCAAAGTAAGACGAGACCGAAGTTGCGTCATCGCTCCAGACATATCTGATGTTTTTATCTACTGCAACTTTATTCATTTAGCTTTTTTATTGCACTAGTATACTACCTAATGTGTTCTAGCAATCTTTAACAGAAATCTTGAGGGTCTCTGTATTTAAAACGTGAGATATGAACCCTTCATGTATGTGCTTGTGTAAATCCCTGCTCAACTGTCTGCAGGGAAGCTAAGGTCAGAGAGCATTAGGTTTGATAGCCATGAAATTAACCTGTTGAGGGCCTATATGGAGCTCTATGTGAACACACAGCTGAACACCCACGCAGCAGTATTCAGGAGCTTCCCATGCCCTTCAGGATGAATGCATTGTGGTGTCATAAAGATAGTCCTTGTGCGCCCACAGACAGAATTAGAGATGCAGAAACAGAGAGGAAAAGAGAATATAGCAAGAGAGGAGAGAGATGGAGGATATTTTTATTAACTTTCAGCTGAACCCATACAGTGCATAAAGAGAGGGTAATATGTGGGTAAGTTTGAAGGGAAGGCAGAGGAGAAGGAGCTGGGAGGTAGGAGGGGGGTGAAAGAGGCACAAAGAAGTAAAGAGCTGGAGTCGGCTGGGAGTGGGGGTACGGGCGCATACGGACAGGTGTCTTAGATGTGAAAGTCTCCTGGGTTCTGAGCATCATTGAGATGCCTTATTATATCCTGATGGTGACGGTGTGACAGACGCTCCGTGAGAATGCAGCGTTGAATACAAGTCACTACTTCAAACCCTATCTAATACATATTCATTTCATTTGATGGACCATTCCCCCGCCCTCTTCACTCCCTCACTGAAGTACTTCAACACAACACAACTATAGGATAGAGTGTGTGTGTGTGTGTGTGTGTGTGTGTGTGTGTGTGTGTGTGTGTGTGTGTGTGTGAGACTGTGAGCATTTCAGTTTTGCATGCACCTGCGCCAAACTACAGTATGTGTAGCCAGGTGAGTGCACCTCTTCATGGGCCTGTGAGCAGTTATACAAAAAACCTGTTTATCTGTGTGAATATGTGTGTGCATAGTATCAGTACATACTTACAGTGATTTTTTGCAGCCAAAAGGTATAGAGTGAAAGTGTGTGTGTGTGTGTGTGTGTGTGTGTGTGTGTGTGTGTGTGTGTGTGTGTGTGTGTGTGTGTCTGCCACAAATAAATCTCAGACAAGGTGGAAGACGGGTTGCTGTGGTCTCTGGAGATAAAGACAGGTAAAAGCTCCAAAACAATGGGTGTTTATTTAAATTCAGTATATAATTCCAAACAGCAGGTTCTGCTACAGCAATATGTGTCTTAAATAAACTAAACCATTGCACAGCAGTCATGTGTTGTGCATTACAACAGGCCTGGGTCTGTCTGCTTTAGGTATTGCATCGGGCCACGTCATGAACACATGCATTTCCACTGCTTCCTCACAATGGTCTGACCGGCGAGCAGGGTTGACCGCAGCCAACTCTGAACGGTCAACTCCCACTCAAACAGGCTGCATCGTGTGCAGATCAACACGTGTCTGTAAGGGCGCCTAGAAAAGAGTTGTGCGTTAAAAATCTTGTTTTGTCCGATATCAGCTTTTACATGACATGTACTGACTGCTATCGAAGCTGTGCAACTCACTGCTGATGAAAACTGAACATTTACTGCTGCGGCTTCACATTAAAAAAGTTATGGCTGCAATATTTTGTTTCAGCATCGACTATTAACTCTATGACATTCTAATTTTCCATGATTGATGCAGTGTTTATCACAAAGTTAACAAAGCTTTGTTTACAATGCAAAGTAGAAGCAGAAGCAGTGAGCTGTTGAATGAAGAGCTGCATGCGACAGGCTTTTCTGAAAAGACCAGCGCACCCCCAACACGTCATTAAGGTAAACACCCTATTTCAGCTTGCAGGGCTGTGCAGAATGGCTTTGGTGGTCGCAGTTCAGGAAGACTATTCCCACCGCTCTCAAGTCATTTCCTGTCATGAGCATTCACACCATAAGCTGGTCTCAGACTTTCATTTAAATAGTTATCAGAGGCATGAGAAGGTAAAACTATCCCGCCTTTAACAATTAAAAAGCAAAGAATATAGAAAATAACTATCATGCTACATATTTTTTTACATATTTTGACATTACTTTATCCTCTCTTTTCATCAGTTGTTGCTCTTTCTACAACAAATGTAGAAAGACAAACGCTTTCAGCTGTTATTTTAATATAGCGTTTCAGAAATAAAAACAGACACCAAACTAGGTTGCAGAGCAGCGAGAGGTCATGCTGGCACACTTTCTGTGGCTGGTTGTGTCGAGCAGAGCGATGTGGCGAAGTGACAGCTTTTGTCAGCGGCTTTCCAGGAGAGGAGGCGAGTGAGCAGAGAAAGAGGATGGAGGGGAAGGAGGACGGAGGGCCCTGGTTACCCTTTGCATCCAATAATGTTAGACAGCCTCCTTTTTTCTATTCTTGTTCATTTTTGATTAATTGAAGAACATGCTACAGTAATCGACTCTTTATTTAAAATCACTTGTCCGTCTAAAAAAAGAAAATTCAGAAAATTCTGTAAATATGAACTAATGTTGAGTTTTGAGGGTTAAAACCCCATCAGAAAAGTAACGAGGGTGCGTCCTTCACAAAGCTTAGCAGGTGTTTGCTGTGACGCAAAGAGGATGATACTTAGAGCCATTTTCTTTTGGTTCAGTGTATACAGTGATAACTAGCACATCAAACTCAAATTGTTAGTGCGGAGGCATGTCGTTTCAACATCCAAAGTGTGCTTTCAGATCACGCCACAGTAGTGTGGATGCACGGCAGTCATAGAGAAAGAGTTGAATAGCTACAAACAAAAAAAATCACAGACAATATAAGTTTTGATTCAGACTCGGTCTTATACTTCAGTGAACATCGACTGATGATACCAGTGTCCATTTATCCGACTGCCCTTTCTCAAAAAGCAAATCAAAACACTTGAGCCAGGCTTCAGACTTTGTCAAACATCAACGGTATCCTCTTTAGTTCCATGAAACTCTATTTAGGAGCTGACAAAAGACAGGCCCACATCTCCTTGCGGGGTACAAACCCAGAGAATAACAAATAAGCTCATTCTGTGGTATAATTGTTGCATTCCTGAGTGCGACGGAAAGCAGCCTTAAGCCTATTATTAGCCATATGGAGAGCTACAGGCCTGGCTGGTTAGAGGGAAATGCGCTGCTGGATAGGTGCCAAATCCTCGAGGAGATAGCAAAAGAAATTCCTCGCTTTTAATTAAGAATTTAATACTGAGACTGCTATTAGTGATTAGTATGTAATTAAAAGCTTTAGCAGCGTTACACACACACACAAGCTAATAGATGAATGTACGTGTGCTGTGTGTGTATAAACATGTGCGTGCGTGCGTGTATGGGGGGGGGAGCATATAAATGAAACTCTGCTGATAATCTCAATTTGTTCTTTAAACAATAGCAACAGTTTGTATTAAAAATACAGGTGAAGAAATGTGCCCCTGGTACATATTGCTCCTTTCGGAAATGTCATTACATTGTTTCACAGTTTGGTTTTTACTTCCAGCAGAATGGGGAATAATACTAAATGTGTTGTTTAAGCCTTGGTATGAAGACAGTTATACATCTAGACATTAGTCTTGTATGCTAATGAGATATTATATGATTTTAAAAAATGATTTAAAAAAAAAAGTTTCATAAGATTTGTATTTTGAAGAATCCATCTCAATATGTCTTTATGCTACCTCGTAACAAAACTGCAATTTTTGCAAGTATGCCTAACTGTGAAATACTGTTGAGAAAATCTGTGTATTTTCTTTCTTCTACTATTTTTTTAAATGTCCTTTAATCGTGTGTTGGTTTAAACACTTCACACATTTTCTTTTGTTACCATCAGATTCCAACATGTCTGACCCATGTTTCAAGAGGTAGACTTTGAGACAAACATCTGGACAGCAGATTGGTCTGACATGACATGTAAACTGGGAGCACTGGGGTACATGTAACAGTTGTGTATGTCTGTTACCTAGTGACGAGGGGGTCAAACAGGGTCAGAGGTGAAACTCAATAAAACAAACACACCACTGATTCTCCTTTACCCAAAATGACTCAGGGAAACACAGGCACATGTAAGCAGCTGCACACACATACAGACCGTGTTGTGCACAGAGCCACACATGTTCCCCAACACTAAGCACTGCAGATGTACAGACAAACACTGCCTACACATTGTCACTAAGCTGATTCACATCAAGCACAATGCTGCAGTGATTTCAGTTCTGCTCTTAGGAAACAAGCTCAGCAGTCTCAGTGCAGCTACTCCCAACAGCCTTTCTCCACATATGCAAGTACACTTGACACAGCGCACCGATCTCTGCTGAGCTCAGTCGCATATCTCCCACAGAGCACGCAGGAGAGGATGGGAGCCAGAATAATGGCCCAGTGCTGGTTCATATCAGGTGATTGTCTGTGACATGTGGTGTTCAGCCAAAGGCCAAAGGCCATGGCGGTAGCGCTGCCCTTTACAGCGCCACATTAGGCCAGGCTAATTCGCAGGCAATTAGCCTGGCTGCATGGGAGCTAGCCTGAGGCGACGGGGGGTCGCAGGAGAGCAGTTTAGTCAGCACAGACTGCATAAAGCCATGTTGAGAAGATACAGGTCTAGAGACTGCATTTCTCAAGCGGTAAATAATGGCAAGACCTTCACATTTCAATAATAATAATATAATGGTAAGGTGAGCTTTAAAAACAACATTTCCCATCATTATATTAAGCCTGGATAGAATAGAGCAGCATAGAATACAGATACAGTTGTGTTGATCTACTTTTTCTTTCATAAAAAAAAAATCATTAATTTGTCTACAAAATGTCAAACAAATATGTTTTAAAGTAACATTCTGTAAATGGAAAGATAATTAAGGCAAAACACAAGACCTTAATCACAAATATTGTAGGACGTGATCAAGGTCATTTTCGGAGTTTCTGAATGCACTTCAGAAAATCTCAAAACCCCAATTTAATCTCAAACAAATTGACACAAAACAAACAAAGACAGAAAGCTTTGGCCTCCCGCTGCTTCTCCCTATGAGTTGGGGTACAGGTGGACCCTAAAGTGGAGGGACACGAGGGTGTGAAGGGCTGCGGAGGGCATGAGAAAGTAGAGCGGAGCACAGTGTAGGACAGAGTCAGAGAGAGAGGTAAAGATAATGCTGTTCCAGTGATGACAAATAACGGGGCAATGACGCAGCCTCGTGCAAAGCTGTTAGCATTCTACTCCAGTACACTGTATCTACATTTGTTTTCCTTGAAAAGAAAGCAAAGCCAGATGCATTTAAGGGACCTAAAGATGTTCCAAAAACAGAATTGCCCTTATGCATTTGTGTGCGTTTTAATTTGATGTTCTTTTTTTGTTTTTGCTTTCTTAACCTCCTCCACCGCTCTGGAGGAAGGTTCCCATTATAACTCTTAAGATGAAAAGAGCTTTCCATATTCATTTTCAGCTAAGACACAAACATCTCATGACCTTGGAAAGTGTGAGTGTGTGTCTGTGGGTAGAACGCTTCACCATGCAACATGTACAACAAGCATGTGCTGTTCAACCAGCGTACGTTATCGTGTGATTTCTAAGGATGGATGCTAGTGTGTGTGTGTGTGTGTGTGTGTGTGTGTGTGTGTGTGTGTGTGTGTGTGTGTGTGTGTGTGTGTGTGTGTGTCCTGGTTTCAACTCCGCCGTTCCTGTGCTCTCACATTATCATACAGAGCAGACGGCGTGCGTGTGCTGGGTAGTAAAACTCTCCTCTGCTCTCTGACAGTCTCCTCTCTCTTCTCCGCCGCCCCCCCCCATCTCCTCTCCTGCTGAGCTCCTCGCATGTAATCTGCAGACTGCACACGTTCACTGCCTACCTGAGTGGGAGTCTTTCTGTGTGTGTACGAGCTCGTGTGGGCACGTATGTGTGCACAGAGGGTGAAGGAGAAGGCAGGAGCGACGGACCAGGTATGAGGCGTTTCCTGAAAGCTCGAGTGTTCTCCTCGAGTCGGCACATTCAGAGAAAACTAATTTCAACGTGTGTACTATGTCTGCCGAACGTGGCAGCCAGACAATCTTTGAGTCTGCGTCACTGTGTGCAGCTGACAGCAATCACCTGAACTGGAATGACTTATGTAACTTTCCCTGTGACGGTGGGCCACGGCTGGTATAAAACAAGCCCCCTGTTCAGAATCGGGTCATCCAGGAAGCACAAGTGTAGAGCCTTCTCTCAAACACTTACACAGAAATGGGACCTGTGCTGTACTGCTTGATTTGTTACTCAACATGCTTCTAAAATGTCAGCTCTAGCACAGGTAAGTGGTTGTGAAAAGGTTTCTGTTGAAACAGAGTCTCAAAGTGCTGTGCTTTGAAAAACATTCTGTAAAATACTGACAAGAACATTATCGTGCTTTGTGTAAATGGCCCTAACCTATTAGGAAAGAAACACAACTTTGGGTTATGTATCCTTCAACAAACTCCCTGCACCGATAGCATGGAAAAATGCCAGAACATGTGAAAAATATAACCACAGCAGCATCAGAACAGTGCTTTAATGATCCTACTTGAATGCAGCCACACACACAAATCAATGGATCTAGACTGAGGTGTAATTATGGGATACTAAAACATCCTGGTATCCAAATACAGCCGACGGGAGAAGGCAGGCATGAGCTGCAGCGAGAGAGAGCCTGAATGGTCTTAATAACCCCTATCCTCTCTCTGCAAACAGAAAATGAATTGATTGAATCCTACATGCAGGTAAGAAGCTCTGCCAGCACAACATGGCGTCTATCATAACCTTTTTGTCTCTGTTTCTGGCATGCATCCCTGCTCAGGGAATGGTGTGTTGAAGATTATAGACGGGGAACAAACACAGGTTGGTGAAAGGGAAAGAAGAAGAGAGAAGAGGAGTGACTAAGATAGAGGAAGAGGGTTGGTGGGGTGCACATGCTTGGGAGATGAAGATAGAAAGTGAAAGAGAGAGAAATAATGAGTAGAAGACAAATGTCCCCGCTCTCAGAGAGATGAATAGGTTGATAGTTTGCAGACAGCCTTTTCCAATGTGTCAGTGGAAGGACTATATCCATTCGCTTCTTCACTAATAAGGTAGAGAATCCCCAAGACACAACCTAGGGATCTATTCATTCGTCTCCAATAACACAGCCACCTCTCTGCTCATATTAGGCAGGATTTGCATAGCTGCATTTACATAAGGATTTAATAATGTCGTCTGAATGAGACCAAACGCATCTGTCAATCACTCCTGGTTCAGTAAAAGGTTTCTGTGCTCTTAGCGCTGTGTCAGATTTGTGAAGTTTGAGCACTAGCAATAGATTTGAGGTTTAAAAGCATTTGATCGGTTGAGGAACATATCCGCTTGTTGAATCCAAATCCAGGTTTAGCTCCCAACATTTGTAGGTTATAAATAACTTAAAATGTAGATCATTTTTTGTTGGGAGGGAATGTTTGAGCAAAATTGTTGCCCACTTATCTTTTCAACAGTTCCTGACTCAAAAATGGAAGGTCCTCATTCGGAGCTACTACGTTGAGTTAATGGAATTATTAATATGACATTGGCAGTGAGGTGATTCTCCCAATCCATGGTTTGGTTCAGACCTCTGCTTGTTTGTTTTTGGGTTGGGTAGTGGTAGGGGTTTCGCGACACAAGACCACAGTCATTAATTCCCCAGAACAAAACATTTGTTTATTGTTTATTTTCAGAATTGTTATCCCCCCCAGACGTAACAATGAAATTATTATAAAAAATAAGTCATTCAAAGGCTTATTTTGTATGTGATTGCCAGTTAAATGCATAAACCTTGAAATAAGCTAGTTACTACTTGCGCAATTATTAAGGCCTGGAGTGCACTCTGATCCATTTGGACTCATCAGGTATGTTGACACACAGAAATGAACCCAGCTATAAATCTTAACCCTAAAAATCCAAAATGTATATTACAAAGTGTATGTTTTGTGTCTGCCCTTACCTTCCAGCCGCTTCCTGCTTCTTTGTAGTAGGGGAAGTTGTCACAGATCCACTGGTAGATCTCGCTGAGGGTCATCCGTTTGCGTGGTGAGCCGTTGATTGCGAAGGTGATCAGACTGGCGTAGCTGTAGGGCGGTTTACCGTCTCTGTGCTGAGCAGCCTCCTCCTGGTCCAGCGTGGTTCCCGGGTCCAGATGCACAATTTTCTTTCCAGGTCCGTGCCCGTGATGGTGGCCGTGGTGATGGTGTCCATGGTGGTGGCCGTGGTGGTGTCCAGCGTCTGCCTTCTGGATGGCTGCCCTCATGCTGAGCTGGGGGAGCCAGTCCATGGAGGTCAGGCTGCTCTCCAGCTCAGAGGTCATGGTGCTTGTAGGTCTTGGGGTCCAAAGGGAAGGGGTGGAGGCTCAGCGACGTGGCGTGTGGAGGATCTCCTGCAGGCTCACTGAATGGGTTCTGTGCAGCAACCGTGGCTCAAGTCTGGAAGAGCAGGAGGTTTGTTTACTACCTCTATTCATCTCCTTTAGCCAGAGCAGAAAGCACACTTGGCAGAGACACACAGATGTTAACTTGCATATTATTTTACACATACAGTGAAGCTTTGTATAATGGAAAACTAAACATTGTGGCATGTTCATCACTTGGTCTTTAACACTGCACATTAAACTGATCTGCAAGGTGAGCTATGGATAAGAATCAAACTTGAATCAAAAAGTGACCGAAGTGAAAGGTGGAGTCCTTCCCTCGTGCATGTTCACAAGTTCTTCATTTAGCCACTGCAATGGCTGCTGCTGCAACGCACAAACACAAAACCACACAAGACGGTGAGCTTGCACTGCCAGACAGCCTTCATAAGATATTAATATCGCACAAGCGCTCAACTGGCCTCGGCATCTGTCCAACCCGATTAAAACTCTCCTCTCTTTCTCGGTCTGTGTTCTGTCTATCTGGATTGCCTCTCACTCTCGTTCTCTCCAAAGTGGAAATGGCAATTGGATCTGCAGAGTGACTAAAAGCTGGGGAATTGTTTTCACAAGTGCCTGCCAAATGGGGGGGAACAGCTAAGGAGGAATTCCAGCACTCTAGACTCTAGAGGAGCCGAAAGCTCGTCCCCTTTCCTTCTCTGTGTAACCCCCCAACACACGTCTTCCCATTCTCTGACTCTCAACGTGCTTCACTCTCCTGTCAAGTGCATGCCCACCCACCCTACTCCCCCTGCGTCTCAGATCCTGTTCAGACAGACACAAACAATGAAAAAAAAACTCAAGAAGCCCCAAGTTTTTAATTTGGTAGCTATTTTTAGAGCGGCGCGGAACTTGAAAAATGAGTCTTCTGCAAGTAGAGAAGGAACGTTTTTGTGTTTTTTCTTCAAGCATGATGATTCAGAAAAAAATAAAAAACTAAGACGAGAGAAAAATTACTCACCCATTGTTCTGTACTCAAGTCAGTCACAGAACATTTGTAGCTTTGTCACTACTGGACTGAGAATGTCATGTAACTGTTACTCATCATGGAGTGAAGATGTTGCTTTCACTCCATGATTAACAAAGAAAATTGCCTCGTTAGAGCTTTGTGTTTTTGGAAGATAATCGCTCTGCATTCTGGGAAATGCAGGTGAACCTACAGGGTTTACGAACGAGATAGGAGTGGGCAAATGCCAGTGAACACTTAGCAGAGGCTGGATGGATGGATTCAGCCTAAGGACAGAGAAATCTTCATCTAAACCTTTGTCTGCCATCCCATGCACTAACCTTCCCATGTCCTTGAACAACAAAGAGCCCACGCATTTTCCATTCAGGCTCACTGTATATAATCAAGGTGGGAGAACTTCAATGAGCCTGCCTACCAAGAGCAACACAAACCCCTCTCTCTCTTTCCACCAATCCCCCGGGGAGCCCAATACGCCAGGATGAGGAAGGGAAGTACTCAGCAGCTCCTGTAAAAACCTCGCTTAATTACAAGCAGAAAAAACAAATGTTTAGCAGCAGACTCATCAAGCCAAACAAACCAGGCAGTGGGACTATGTGAAGGAAACCGAGCAGAGATATGCCCGATGAGGACTCATGCACAACACCACCCCCCCATCTCCTCCTCAAGGCCCTGCCACTGTGGGAGAAGCCAGAGCCAACCCCCTCTTCCAAATCCCAGGAAGCCATCTTAATTAGTGCACCTTTTTTTTCTCTTTTCGTGTTTTCGCTGTAGGGAAGGTAGCATTGCTAGTTGTAGTGGGTAGGTGGGAATGGGGGTGGTGACACAAGACACAGAACAACACGTACTTATTTTCCCCTCATTAAAAGGAGGCTCAAGCTGCAAATCAGCCTGCCACAAGCCCTGACCTGCTGTGCTGCCGTGGCTGTTGTTGTAGATAAGTTTTGGAGCGTGGGCAGGCTGCACGGTGGCACGGTGTAGCTTCGCACCGCTAGCCGGGTGAGGATGATGAGTAATAGAAGAGAGCGGAGAGGGAAGAGGAGGGGCATGACTTGGCTTCTGGGGAGAGGGGCCCTGCTGAGCGGGTAGACGCAACCAATTACCTAGTCGACTCAGTCAACTGGTCCCACAGTGACTGGGCTCACCTCAGCACTGTGCCTTTTGTCTCTGATATCCGCCGTGTTTCACAGAAGCCTCAGAGGCCCACACGGTATCAGGGGAGGGAAATGATCAACGCAGAGGAGACAGCTTACATCTCTGCTTATCTTAGAGCTATCAGTTTTCAAAATGTACGCATTGTTCTGCAGGCGTAGATGGTGAGTATTACATTCTCATCTCAGGTAATTGTTCATGATCATCTAAGAGTACTGAAACAGCAGTATGTATTAAGGAGGAAATTAACCTTTCAGTCGATGTTGGTCTTTGTAGATGTTCACAACATCTGGACTGATAACATTCATACAGTATATTTGAGTAGTAGACTCACTTCTCTTACGCAGCATGAGATGACTATATCCTCCTCAGGTGCAGATTCAAACCTGAAGGGCCTTTTATGTCATATTTTATCCTGTAACTAATGGAAGTCACTTTAAACACTATACTTTTACAATTAAATTATGTTATGAGTAAAACATGTGTGTGTTTTCAAAGATATGATTAACTGATTGTTGTGAAATAAAACTGAACAGTTTAATTGAGAGTTAATTTCCTGAAAGCTGCAGGGCAGGAGAGAACTCATTGTAATGCAATAATTGCAGGCTCAAACAGACACCAAAATAACAATTCCTGCACATACTCAAAACATCAAAAACGTAACCAACTAGACAGATTTCAAAGAGATGTAATTGAATAGAAAATAAAGGTAGCGAAGAGGGGATATTCTGGCAACCGATCATACAGGATTAGGAGCGTTTGATTAAATAGTTTGAATGCTTGTCGCATAAATATGCATGGCAACATACATTTTCAGAGATAAACATTTGGCTGACATTAGTAAGTATCAAAAGCGGTTCAAAATTGGGCAAAAAATAACATGTGGCATCACAGATTTCTATTTACAGATTTAAAAAAAAAATTCCTGTTAAAAGTTAACTTTGGCATCTTGAAAGTTGAAAGTTAGTACCTGGCACTTCCATAAAAGATTACAAGCATGAGTATAAAAAGAAGAGCAAGGATTTGGACGATTATGAACAAGAAATCTTTTTCATGCAAAGAATTTTAATACATCACTCTCTGCACTGTGGAAGGAGCTTTCATGACTGGGAACATTGTCCCTTTAAAAAGAGTTGAGGGTCTGTATGTGATTGAATATATTCACCCATTAGACTTTGTAGCTGTGATGCACTCACTCAGCTGTATGCATCACTAACAGCTAACCGTCTCCCGCTGCTAGCAGGCTTTTAGACGGAGAGAGGCTTTACAGTTCTGCATTTTAATAGAGAACTTTGAATGGAGTGACGGGGGATGGGTGAGGGAGGGAGCCAAAAGAAAGAGGCATCAAAATATTTTCAGAGGAAAATGAAGTAATGACAAAATACCCACCCGGAGCGTGCCGAGCAGAGGGGGTTTCTTGGAAGAACTGCCTTGGCAACGGTAATGCTAATGTGTCAAAAGAAAGTCTGTAGGCATACTGAGCGCTGTCATGTCGAAGAGTGTGGGCCTTTCAGACGAAGGGGGAAAGGTCCAAAAAGCGGTATTGAAAGTCTTAATTACTTTCGGCTTCAGAGCCAGAAAGCATACCCCTGAAAAGGTTCAATTATAAGATATCAAGGCAAATCAGCTGCCCTTATGGAGGATGCTTACTCATCTCTCAATGGAGCTGGGTTAAGCAATTATCGCTTGATACTGTAGTGTGTACTTATTCTCAAAGGAGACCTGGAGAGGCATCGATGTAATGCACCGTTTCAAACTGAGATTTAGTGGCCTTACTCCTTAAAGCGAGTGGTCAAGAAAACTAATCCTTGAAAGGAAAAAGTAAGGGGGAAAAAAAAGAGATTCAGAAAGAGGGAGATCATTTATCCCTGACAGTGCAACCCGCTTTAATCAGAGGTTTCTGAATACTGATCGCTGGCCCAAGTCAATCAAGTGCATCTCAAATGAAAACATAACGTGCTGATTAACACAGCTTCTGTCAGGTCTGAAAGAACTTCTGATTGAAAGAAGGAAAGACAAATCCGAAGGTTCCAATGAATTCCTTAAGGCTTAGAATAAAATATTTAACTCGCTAAGCCCACACAGAATACAACACCTGAAAACATCTGCCAAGGTAGAGGGAGTTAGCGACCCAGAGGACTTACCACTGCCAAACTAGAAAAAGCTATAACAATTCCAGATTCTGACAACGGCAAAGTTAAAAAGGCATTTTTTGTCATAAATAAAACATAGGCGTGCAGCATTTCGGCAAACTCCCCCAACGATCGGTCCCAAGAGAGAGACGAGATGCTGTTTGTGAACTCATGCTTTGCACAGTAAAGGAGGCTACAGCACTGCGTCACCGCGACTCAAACCACATTCCCACATCCAGCTCTATTCAGCAAGGACTAGTCCTCTTTAAAAATTCATTAATTTACAGCAAAAATAGATTAAAGCGCCCAACCTAAAAAGTTTGGCTTGCGAATAGCATTAATAATGGAAACGAGCATCAAAAACCTAGAGGCCCTGGCTCCAAGGCATGGCTTAGGTTTTGTTGCACTTTATAATGGAGAGTCATTTACATGTTTTAGAAGTATTACAGCTTTTTGATGCTTGTTTATAATAACATTGTTTTACATGCAAATTGGCTCACAATTGTTGCTCATTAAAACATAACCAGGAGAGTGCAACAGCGCTGAGCATGTGTAAGACCGAGGCTTTACATCAGGACGCTTTGCACTGGACTCTTGTTGCTGGCAGCCCCACTGCCGAGTTCAATCCAAACGACAGCCTTTTCAAAGTGATCATCCCCCATTTTATTTTTTACATCTTGCTCTTTCAAATCATAGCAACGCTTTCCTAAAAGAATCAAAGAGGATTTTGACAAGATAAAAGGATTTGCTGCATTTGAATCC